GCAGAACTGTAATGATCCCCAAAACAAACATTAAAAACTTGAGATACTTAGAGCCGAGATCATATTTTTGAAGTTTGAAATTTATTAAGGTACAAAAATGTGCAATTACAGCCTGCATGGCAGTTTTATTTCCAGCCACAGTGATGTTGTGAGGAGGAAATAATATGCCCGAATTTTGTTCTTAAAATAGAAGCAATCATTGAAATTCATTAATCATAATTAAACAGTTATTGTATAAGGAGAGTTAAAATGTATAAGCGCCAGAGGAAGCAGAACTGCAGTTGTACATTGAGGTCTGTCTTTTATAATTATCCCTGCCCCTTTAGCAGAGTTGACTTTTTTTTGTGGTGTGTGTTGGTTTTTAATTTTACCACTTTTTGAGGTGCAGAACATTTGGAAGGGCAGAACATTTTAATCCCTATCTCTGCACGGTGTTAATATTTTTATTACCTGTCAGCATAATCCACCAGGACAATGTGCTGTATTTATAGAGTTGCTGTTGATCATTTTTTCCCTCTGCTTTTGGGCACTGTACCTGCAACAGCTTCTTTCCGAGTAATCCAGGTGAGTGTCCCAGACAGCTAAGAGGTTAAGGAGGGACTTTTCCCATCACAGCCAAGGCAGGGATTGAAGAAGGAGAAGGGAGGTTGAGAGGACCTGACCCAGTAGCGTAACAGAGTCCCAACTCCCTGAACTGCAGATTGTGCTGGAGAACCCAGGGCAGGCACCAAAGGAATGAGGAAATCCCCTATGGAAACAGGAGTTTATTGAGGAGCCTGTTCTGCTTAGTTTTGCAAGTGTAAGGGCTGGCAATGTAGAAGCAGAATGTTAAACAGAGAGCGCAGAACATGTTACCTTAAAAAAAGAAAAAGAGTAGAAGGGGAGAAAATCAGTTTGGGAAAAATTGGCCCCTTTTGCTGCTGCCCGTTAATGGAGACTTCATGCTCATACAATTTGGAATCCTGTAACCTTGGAAAATTCAATTTTTTTAATTCAGCGCAATTCTTTCTGCATCACAGATAGGCAAGGGCATAATTTTTAACATATGAACTGAGAAGATGCCAGAAATAATATGAAGTGCACTTGAATCAGAATTCAAAATGGAAAGGGAGCTCTCACTGTTTCTAATGAGTGTTCAGGCGTTATTACAGTTTTTCTGGGGAAGGAATAATTTCCCACAAGATGAAAAAAAACATAATTTAATCAAAGGCTTTATTGCATTGTGGGCAGTGAGAACTGTAAGTGAAGCCCTGTACTATTGCACATGAAAGTACAAAACATTGCAAGGAATTGTTTCAGCTATAAAAGTTAGTCAAGCTCTAAGAGCTTGCAAGTACCAGTCCAAACTGTGCCTTATTAGCTTTACAACAGGAAATTTATTTCTTCAGATATGCCAAATAGCATTATTTCCCTTTAGTCTCATTATTTTGTTTTGTTACTGTTGTTCCACTATAAGCTAAGGTCATTTTTTCCCCCTCTTTCTCTTTTTGTTTTCTCTCTCCAGTCACTCACAGGTAGCATCTCCTACTACTCCCTTTGGGAACATATGTTGCAGCCACTTTTTCTTTGCAATCTTTCATGTTGCACAGTCTCTTTGCATTACCTTCATAGGAAGAAATTACTAATTGCATTGAAGAAATATATTCTAGAAAACATAAAAAAAAACCCTTCCATTTATTTAAAAGGAAAATTGTACCAGTTCCAAACAATTATCCATCAATAGTGTATTTTCAGCAGATTAAAGACCACTTTCTTCCAGCTTTTTTGATTCTTTACAGATATCACCTATTTGCTTGTACTGAGAATATTTCATTATGGTATAATGAAGTAATAATCTTTTTAGTGACAAATGTGACACCATCTGATCTGCAAGTTGTGAAGCTTAAAAAGGAATTATTTCTAGGTAGGGATTGGATTGTAATAGAGCAGCAATTAATTTTAGATCTGTATCTAAATGAATTTTCAAAAAGAAAGTTAAATGTTTATAAGTATGACATTTAAAATTAATGCTACCAAGTGGAATTTTTCATATGAGTGGATCTTTAGCATTGTACTGTCCAGTCTCCTTTAGTAAGACGTTTGTTTCAGTACCTATAGGTGTATTAGATGTGTGTTCTGTCAGTGTCCCAGCTGGTAGAATCAGCTAATGATTTAGGCCTGCTCCAACCATCAAGCTTATTCAAAAAAAATTATTTCAGAAAGTACATGCCAATCTGCTGGTACTTACAGTTTCAGTGTCCTTAGTGAAATTCTCACTGAAAAATGTTTTGCTATGATGCTCAAAGAAGCACATAGCTTTATATTATATAAAATAAAAGTATTAGGAATTTGAATGGCAAATTCTGTAAATTTCCAGTGCATTTCTCTGTAATTTTAAGTTTTATACATAGGTATAGATATAACCATTCATCTAACACTCAAATCTGTGATTGTATAGACTATGATAAGGCACTCTTAGAGTCTATAATATAACAAACGCTTATATAATAAAAATAATTTTAAATACAAGTTCTTCATAAGTCCAATTCATAAAGTCAAGATATTTTTCTTTATTATATATTAATTTTTTTTTACTTTGTGWTTTTTTTATTTTCACTTTGTGCAATTGCTGCCATCAATTTACACCGATTTTTATCAGTTTCTTAACATCAGTTTGTTAATTAAGCTTAAAACTTCCAAAGTAGAAGTAATCTTTTTTTCAACTTGAAACTTAATCTTGAGCCAGAAGAAAATAAAAAACTGTGAAGAGTTTATTGGTATCTTGGATCCATTTTCATATCAGAAGTCGGCTCCAGCAATCAAATCTTGTCCATCTGCTATAGTTCTAGAGGTGCACGTTGGCTGTTTTTACTGTCAAGTACAGTAACACTTTATTTTGGCTTTCAGTAATTCTTTCCTAAAACAGAAATTGTCATATATTTTAATTTAGCCATGAATCTGGTTTGATTTATTTTAAAACAAATTTCAATATACCAGCTAAGTGATGTGGCACTATTGCCAAGATTTTTAATTGGATTAGATGCGAATACTAAAAAACAGGTGCCATGAAATTAAAAGTTTTTGCTTTCTGAATTTGGTTTTASGTAGCTTATTTTTTTACAATGCCCAAGTAAGATGAACCAACTATTTCCTGCTATTTTTTTGAACAATATGCCATCCTTGTATAATATAAAGGCAGTTTTATAAGAGTACAAATATCAATGTGAAATATTCTGAAACTTTTCCAAATATATCTATCTTCTGATAAATTTTCTAAGCTAATGCAACAGGACTTTGTAGAGTAGGTTCTTTGAATCACAGTCTATCTTCTTTAATTATGAATTCAAATATCTTATACCCAAATGGGTAACTGAAAAAAAATTATATAAGCATCATTATTTTTAAAAAACGTTATTGAGATATTAACTAATTAACTATTAACTAATAAACTATTAACTAATAGTGGAATATCTCAATATTGAGATATTCCCAGCATGACAGAATGGCTTTTCACATGCAATATGCAACAACCACTAGATCTGCTTTACATCAACTCAGCCTGTCTAAATCTTTCATTTCTTATAGTGGAGTCTGTGGTACGGGTGCTTTAGGAAATTTTGGAGTTTTGGGGTATTTTTTTGTTTGTTTGCTTGTTTGTTTTTTCTCCAATCCCTTCCCCCTTTGTGTTTAATTCCAATTTTTATAAGATAAATGATGTGGGATTTATTTCAGTGCAGGCATTTTCATTATTTATTGCTGCTTTGCAACTTAGGTGCATATTTTGGCAAATGCTTACTGCTAAAAACATTTGCCGAAGGAAGAAACAAAGGGCCTGAAGCACATTCTGAGCCTCGTTCTGGAGGCAGACACAAAAGTATCTTTACTAAATGCTTCACACCACTACTAATGGAAGTGCATTTTTCAAGGTGATGATCTTGGCATAAAAAACAACAAAACACCTAATGACTAAAACTTGTAGAATTCTTCTGCTGATGCTTCTAGTTTACAGAGGATTTTTCATGCTTCTAAAACAACCTTTACAGACTTTTAAATGGGAACACATAACTATAATCAATACTTTCTAACGTTCTATTTTTCCTTTTAATCTTGTCTTATCTGTCTGTAGTGATTTTTACTTTTTCCTCGCACATTCACTAATGCTTTTAGGTTTCATGATCCCATCAGAATGGAGAGGAACCCAGGTAGGTAACCGGATGCAGAGCAGCATTGCTCATCTCCTCTCCAATACCCTTCCCAGCGTAACAGCCACTTTCTGTGTGGGTTTCTGGTTAATGTGCTCTTCTGCATCATCCTCATTGCTTTAATTCTGTTCCTCTCCTAAGGTACTGCTGTTTTTCTGGAGTCTGTAATCAGTGACCATATCTTGCTGCAACCACTTAAACTTTCTGACTAAGACATCTATATAGCCTTACTAAGTCTTTTTTCCAGGCACCTTTAAGAGGATGTATTTTTGATCATTTGGAGGTATTTYTCTCGTGGAAACTCATTGGATTTGGGGGGGAATGCCATATAGACTCAGAGGTCTAACACTGTTCAATACACTGAGTCAGATCTTTTGAATATGAAATATGTTCACGTACAACTGACGGGAAATTATATCAATAGCTAAATCTTTTAAGTATTAAAATAAATGGAAAATATGAAGTTTACTGCAGCATCACTATTAAAAGTGAAGTTCCCTTACCTGAAATTGCTCAAAGTCAAGGGGGAAGTAATAAAGATTTTTTTTTTTTTTTGATTTTCTGTTTTTAGGACTTTTCAATATTTTCTCAGAGTGGCTGCAAAACTAGTCATCGTTTCTGCTGAATCTCTGTTGGTTTGACTGTACTTTTTGTGAGCTTAGGTTAGCCACTATTGCCCATTTTGCTTCATAAGCTAAGCCAGAGAGAAAAGCAAGCCAGCCAAACTGTAAGATGGTTTTCAGATTGCTCTGATTTTCATCTTTGTCTTTCATGTTCTACCAAATGGTACCTTTGGKGTGAAACTATGTATTTCTGCAGGCCATTGAGACCCACCTCATTCGGAAATCAAGCGGAGGCCTGACCTACATTGCTGAGTGGAAGGGTGGACTGCTTGAACACAAGATGGGACATCTGACTTGCTTTGCTGGAGGCATGTTTGCTCTAGGAGCAGATGGAGCACCAAATGACAAGACAGGCCACCACATTGAGCTTGGTGCTGAAATTGCCAGGACTTGTCATGAATCCTACGATCGCACAAGTAAGCACAAGTATTAAGGAGATTAGTTTCATAATTCTGCATTGTAAASGCAGCTACCAGTATTTTTTTGGCATAATGGCCAATGAAAATGTTATTATACCGAAAATTTTTCATCCTTTTTTTTTTAATGCTGCTTACTTTAAGAGTAACTTTAAGAATGACTGCTCTGTTAATTACTATTTTCTTTGTACTGGAATCAAACCTACTCRTCATAGTAGAGATTAGCATTTCACTTTGTCAACTTCTGTATGGYCAAATACAAGTAAGGCAGAGTTTGTGTTCATTTATGCATCACTGTGACTATTAACTATGCTTTGTCCACAAAGAAAAAAAAACATATTGTCAGGTCTTCTGATGCAAGGCTGCAAACAAGAGAATTGCACAGAGAGTAGAAAACACTGTGCAGAAAATTTCTTTGGTTTCTTTCATTTTCTCAAAAAAATAAACCCAACCCTGGCAGCATTTCGAGTCCTGGAGCTCATTTTCAAGTTTGATATGAAAAAGTAAATATCCTCATCTTCTAAGCAAAATTTAATATGTTGCTTGTTATATTAAATCTCTGAGAATGCARGTCTTAGCATCACTATTCAAACCAGAGCTGCAGTCTGAGGCTTTGATGAAGAATCTCTCTTTTCCATTGTGATTTCCAAAACATTAAAGGAAGARAGGCAGCATTACCCTTCAGAAATTACATACCTTTGGGACATTTGATTTGGAAGTTTACAAATTTGAAACTTTTCTTAATGCCTGTGCTTTTGCCCTCATGTTGAATAGGCATGAAGCTGGGACCAGAGGCCTTCAGATTTGACGGTGGTGTTGAGGCCATTGCTACAAGGCAAAATGAAAAATACTACATCCTCCGACCAGAAGTCATAGAGACCTACATGTACATGTGGAGGCTCACTCACGACCCAAAGTACAGGCAGTGGGGATGGGAAGCTGTAGAGGTAATGCTTTGTAAGATTGTTTTCTTATTAAGTTCTAATATCTTGCTAAGCGAGCTATTGAACAACGCCTGGCTGTTGTCTAGCAGTTGTACCGTTTGTTTTAAAATAATATCATCTTTAAATATTCAGAGATTCGTTTATTAAATAGGTGAAATAAGATTGTTTTGACTAAATCAAGTCTTGTGGGTGTTGTATTTTAAAAAAACACCTTGTGATTTCTCCTTGTTCAACACTTCTCAGTGCAGGGTCACGTTTGGATGTACTGTTTGAGATGTTGATTATTGTCACATGTGAATGGAAGGTTCAGACATGAATCAAATTTGAGCCTTGGAGACAGAAATAGGTTTTATGAAACATATTCTCTACAACAATTGTAACAAAGCAATTTTAGTTAATGTGACTAAAGCCAAGATTAAGCGACTATGTGGCACCTAATGTTTTGAGGATGGGTCACTTTTGAAAAGCTTAGGGCACCTGGATTGAACTCCATTAATGCTACCAATCTCATTTAGCTCTGAATTTCAGTATCCCACCAGCCTGTGAGCTGCAACTAGCTGTGCTGAATCTTACAATTTGTGTTTGTCTAACATGAGTCTTCCAAGAGGGCAACTAGCCTAGACTGCAAAACACTGGCATGCAAAATCACTGGTTGTCTCCTTTCAGGGGTTAATTGCTCTCACTGTTAGTGCTAAGAGGCTTTGGATTTACCTTGTTTCATCCTCTCACCATGGGTTCTTATTACACTTCTAGGTTCACACAGGCTCATTTCTCCTCACATTGCTGTTTTATTTACCTTTCATTCTTCCTTTGGAATTTCTAAGCAGTCTGAACTCTTAGTGTAAGATACAGGAACCTGAAGAACGGTACTGGGAGGGTGGGGGACAGTTCTCCTCCTTAACAAAAATATTTTAAAAGTGAAATCAGAGTTCTGTGCAGTATTTCATAACTGATTTTCTTTTGCCATTTTATTCTCTGCTGGTTTACAGWGTCCTTTTCGCTCTTTCACAGAAGTGTTGTTTCCCAGGATTTATTTTTAATCTTGTTTATTGGTTTGACCAACACCTCTTGTTTCTAGTTTTTTTTTTCTTTCTTTTTCTGAATAGTCCTTATGCACTACTTGTAGTAGATTGTCACACTTACTGAGCCCTGAGGGACCTAAAGGGTTTTGATTCCATAACTCCTATCTATCTGAGTGACATCTGCCAGTTACTTGGTTTCTTGAACAATACTCATTGTTTGAATTCTGTCAGCAGTATTCAGTTCAGATAGATATGGCATAGTTATTTGGGACATCTTCTTTGCCTTCCTTGGGTATTGGCTGTGTCTGCCTTGAAACCACATAGTTCTGAGCTAATGATTCTAATTTTTTTTAAAAAAAAAATCCAATTTACTGTCTAATTCCCTTAGTTTCTTATTTGCTAACGCCATCCATGGACACATATTTTACTATTGGAATCTTCCCAGGCAGATTAGAATTGGAATGTAAAATCTCTCCWTATGCAAGTCATCCCACCAGGCTTCGACGATACCAGCTACAGTGCATTTCTTCTCTAGGAGATGTTTCTCTGCCTCATTCTTGCTGCCCACACTGCTAACATTATTTTAAGCAATTGAAATATTTTTTTCTCTTTTTATTATTCTTTACTCTGTTGATTCAGTTTGTTTGTACTTACCTCACGTTTGTACACTCATTTATCTTCTTAGCACTCTCCATGTGTTGCTTGTTTAACATTCTTGTACTCATTCTAGCTTGGCTCTAATGTAATGGATTAGAGCCCACGTGTGGGAGATGCAGCTGGCCCCATTCTGTGCATTCCCGTCTTCCACTGTCCTAATCTGCAGCTGAGTGTTTCACAAAAACAAGCCCTGCAAATTCACTGATGTTACAAAGCCAGTTGTAGGCTTCAAATACTTTTCTTTTTTTTCTCTCTTCCTAGAAGACATTCCTGATGTCTTCTGTATAGTTCCACATGATACTATATTATCTGTTCTAGCATGTGCTGTAATAGCTTATCAAGATAATCTCTGCTCTCTCCTCCTTATTCTTGCACCACAGAAGAGATGACCCCATCTCAATGTTGTTGGGGAAGTCTCCGATCCCTAAATATGGGGGGKTTAATTACCAACACCAGTCTCGTGAAGAAGAGACTGAAATAAGAATAAAGTGGAAACAATCAGGCTGATTGCCTTTGTCTGAAAAATTTGGGGTTTAGGTGCTCTTTCCTCTATTTTTTTTTCCTTTTAGAAGCTTGCTTTGCTGCTTCAGCTCAGTTCCATGTTTGTGCTGCACTTCAGTAGCTGGAGAAAATGCAGTCATGACCAACATCAATATCCACTGTTACTGACTCAGAAAGATTTTATCAGCCCCGCTCATGGAAGCCTCCCTTTCTGCATTATGCATGTGGCACATGTTTTGAAGTGCTAGCACTGTGCTTTTTCCTTTGTGCTCAGCCAGCTTTTGCTCCGTTTGACGCTTTCCATCACTAGCAAAGCCGATCTCAGCCACCCTCACTTTCTGGGGACTACTCATTTAAATCATGGTTTATCGTTTCTTCCCACCCCCCCAGCCTTCCAACTCCAAGTGYGAGACAGACAATATGGAGACAGAAGGACACTGTTGGCAGTTACAGGAGGGTGATACCCAACAGACACCCATTGTGCTAACACCACGTATGAATGTTCCTTCATGTGCAAGTGCAAGATAGCTCTGAGGGCCCAGGCTGCATCACATTTGYACCAGTTAGATGCTACTCAGTAGCTTACCTGGTGCATATTAACCTATAGTTTAAAATTTAGCARTTTTTCCAGTGCTCTTGGTCTGTCTCTCTAAAATGAACTCCAGTGACCCTCTTAAAGAAGGCTCTAACTACATGTTGCAGCAGAWAAACCCCAAAGCAATTTGCTTTTATTTCACCTCATCCTGACTAGAATGCAGATGTTTCCTTGAATAATAGTCTTATCCTTCAAGTTCTCCTTTTGCTGTGCCTTGGAAAACATAATCTTGGCTTTGACATTGAAAATCTAGACATAGATTCAGCATTTTGAATTCATTGCAGTTTGAAGCAGATGAGAAGGAAGGAGTACCAGCCAGGGGACATCATTACTTGTTTAACCTGAAGTGTATTTGTCACTTATTAAAAGTGTCCAGAAAAATTCGAGAAGTTAAAGACATGCAAGGAAAGACAAGTRGGCCTGTTATATTTTTAAAAGGATGTCTCCTAGAGAAAAATTCCCTTTAAATACACAATAGGCAGTGAAAACTACAGAGAGTCTGACATGTTAGCTGAATATCTGTTGATCTCTAGTAAAATAGATGAAGCATAGGATATACACTCACAACAAGAAACATAACTTCAGCAGCTTTTAAGAGCAGCTGGAGCTGAAAGATACCTCAGAAATCATTACTTTATTCCTCTCCCACCCCTCTCTCTCTCAAAAAAAAAAAAAAAAAAAAAATCTTCCTCTGCCTTTTTGCTTGTTTTAGATGCATTTTCTGCCTTTTCATAGCTTTTTGCCATATGTGGCTTGAAATACAACATTTCTCTCTGAATAAAGGCTATACAACATGTAATCACTTCAGTGATGTTTTTAAAAACTTCAGAAGAGGAGGAACTGGCTGTCTCATGGGAATAGAGCCTCTCATCTCTCTGGCAAGGTTTTCATATAGCTCCAGTTATTTGTGCCTCAGAGATGTTGTTCTCACACCTATCTCCCCAGCAAGCACCGTGTTACAGAGCAGCAAGGCCCTGAGTAAACACAGTAATCCAGAACACTTACTGTCATTTTCATTATGAGGAATTATTTAAGGCTAAAGATCACTTCCTGGATTTGTTTGTGAATAATGAGTTGTGTTTTGAATATAATCATCTCAGATGTTCCCACTTCCTTTATTACACTGCATCATATCAGACATTTATAAAACAGAATAAGAGAAATGAGAAGTATTTAAAGATGAATGCATTTTTTTAAACAAACAGAGGGAAGAAGAGAACTAACATTCAAAGAAATTACTGGTAGCAATCTTTGGACTTTATCATGGCTTTTAACTCTATCGAGGTAATTTTTAAGCACTGAAAAATGACGAAGGAAGATGCATATAACAGGATCTCTGAGGGGTGTAGATAAGCCTGTGATAGAGAGGGTACCAYACTAACAGGAGAACTATAGAAGTAAAATATCACACGCATATGTGTTCCTCTCTGAAAAATAGTTTGTGTTCATTTATTTTTATTAATTTATCGTTTTGCTTCTCATCCTAAATGTGAAGTTCATAGCTATAGTTTAATCTGTTTAACTATAGTTTACTAATCTGTTTTCAGGTCTTTCTCAAAAAGTTTGTGAATGACTTTTTGTAGTTGGAAACTATGACCAAACAAGGAAAACACTGATGGATCATTCATTTTCTTAATCTTGCTGAGTTTTTTTTTTTTCCTTTTCATCCCTCTTCAGGCATTGGAGAAATATTGCCGAGTAGATGGTGGCTATTCTGGCATCAGAGATGTTTATAACAACCGTCAAAGCCACGATGATGTGCAGCAAAGTTTCTTTCTTTCAGAGACACTCAAGTAAGTTAAGAAAGTTGACTTTCATTAATGTAAGGTAGTTTGTGTATATCATCTTCACAGGTTAGTGCATAACATTAGTATCCTTGACACTGAGGTAACAAAATCTGAAAAGTAGACTTGAATAGTAGAGCTCTTGTTCAGGGACAAGAAACCAAATTGCCTTTTTTTTCTCTCTCTCCGTTAATAAACTAAATTCTGTGACTTAGAGAAATTATTCTTACTTCTGTTAAAGGTTTTTGATATTCTTTATAGGGAAATTACATATCCTAGCTTTGACAGGTCCAATTACATACACCAACACTAAGGGAATAAATTCAGTAGACTGAGGATTGTTATCAGACTTTTACTGTATACCTTTTATTTTAAAACTACTGGGGTAGTTTTAAAAAGGGTTGAAAAAAGGGTAGAAAAAAGGGTTGGTAAGCTTGCATGGTAGGCTCACAGAGTCAAATAAGAGGAAAAAAAGAAAATCCTTCATTCTCCATTATTGCATTCTMTTTTTAATGAAATAGAGGACAATTTTTCTCAATCGCTTCACTTTCTGTAASCTGGAAAGCACAGAAAGAAGTAATTACACCATTTCAATGGAAAGCATACTACTGAAACAAATAGAATATATACTACAATATAATAAGTACATCTACCTATGTGGGAATTTTTAGAGTGCACATGCAATAACAAGCTTGCAGTACATCTTTTACATTGCCATTTCAGAAATATACCAAGCAAAACCCTCAGGCCTTTTTGAGATTTTGCTTTTAAGTATCATGAAGATAGCAAGGTTTCTGATTTGCAGCTTTATAGATAGAAATCACTCACTAAGGCTGCAGAAGGCTAGTGACTGAGAAAAAAAAGTTTAATTTGCTAAGCTGACTGTCATTCCTCAGCAGACTTCTATATTAGTGCTATAGTACCTGCTACCTTTGTATTGTGAAATTAGGAAAATGTTGCCTTTCTTTCTGTTTTTAATAGACAGACCCAGTCCTCCTTAGCAATGAGTTATCCTAGACTGGGCTAATGCTATATTTATTCTTTAAATAACCTAAGCCAGATCTTGCTCATGGAAGCAGGACAGGATTAGACTACAATATTTTCACTCCCATGACTTAACATAGGGTAAAAATAAATACATAAATAAAACTTGTTACAGCTATATACTATCAAAGTGATAGGTTAAAAGAATTACTAAGGATGAAGAGAAAGTGAAATGACATTTAAGTTTGAAAACCTAAACTTTACTTCTTTATCCTCTCTGAAACTAGAAGAGCTTTTTCAAAGTTCTCATACTTTTCATACTCGTTTTTCATTCTCATTTTTTTCATACTCATTAATTCTCCTACTCTTTCCATAGGTCTCTACTGCTMTTGAGTCCAGTCTGAATTGCAGACCCAGTGCTTTGTATTGACCATTATTATTCCACAACTTACTAGAGTATCATGTTTGGTCAGTAGAGGCGTGTTTCCACTGACACATTTATCTATAGAAGCTAGATGTCTACTTTCACCTGAAAACTATTTTAGTTTCATCTCCCTCATGCCACCTTCTTTTTCTTACCAGGTACCTGTATTTGCTGTTTTCTGAGGATGATCTTCTTCCATTTGAACACTGGGTCTTCAACACAGAGGCTCATCCCCTCCCTATTCTTGACAAAGAGGATGGAAATAAAGAAGAAACCCAGAAATAGATGATGATTAAGTTATATTTTGTTCCATTTGTTATGTATCTTTCCAGGACTTGGGCACATGATTTGGTTTAAAATTCCTGATTTAAGTTTTTAAATCAAGTGTTTTGCAGTCTGTTTTCTTTACCAGTAAATATTTATGAATGGACCCAGACTCAGTGATAAATCTTCATGTCTTATCCAGCTGAACCACTTCTTAGAAAGAAATAGGACATCACAGCCCTCCAGATTTTTTTAGGCTGCAGCAACATCTTGGCTAAGAAAGAACAGAAGAGTCTGCGTGCTACTTGTTTCCAGTTATGCTTTTGATTTGACTGCAAAATTCTTTCCTCCTCTGTGAGGAGATGTCTGCTTTAAGCTGTAATATTTTTGCCATGTTGCAAAAAGCCATATTGAATTAAGTATAAAGAGCTTTGTTGGGTTTTTTTTTTCCTATTTGTTTGTTCTATGTTAATTTGTTTTGTTTGTGTGTCATCCCAGACAAATATTGTGACTGTGACAGCCTCTTATGCGGGTCTTTTATTACTTGGTAAAGTATCTGATGCATTTCATGGTCAGTGAAGTCTACATAGGACTATTTTCATCTCATGCAGACACAACTCTGTTAGAAATTACAGTATATATTGAAGTTATTCTAGATCAGATTTATAAATTTAGCACGTTCACTAGCAGACTTTAGTTTTCAGGGGTTGAGTAGAATATTATTATGGACTAAATTGTTTCTTCCCTTTTGTAAGTGGAGTTACTCTCATCTGTTTAGCCAGGCTAGCATTGAGTAAAATAAGACAGTCATTTCTCAATAAACAAGGGAGTCTTTTCTTCTTTACGAATTTAGTCCAGTAACTTTCAAACAGTTGGAGAGTAAAAAAATACCCAATGACATCATTATTCTCAAATCTGAGCTAAGACTTATCACAGAGACAATTTGTTTGGATTTTGGTGACTTTCTCCATCAGATTAGTTCAGGCTAATGTGAGCCCTGTTTGTTTATTTTCACAAAGCAATTTAACATGTTTACATGAAAAAAAAGATGTTGAGATGCCTTGAAGAAAACCCATCTCCTTAAAAAAGAAGTAATCATTCCTTAAAAACGAAGTAATCGTTCATTGTAGAGCTTCTCCTTCCAGCACAGTACTAAAATTCTTTGACAGCACTAACTGTGCCTTCTCTAAGTGACAGAAGTGCAGTGTGTTTGTTAAACAATATTCCTTAGATTAAAGGCCCAGTTTACAAAGAAAGGTAACAGCTTTGCTGAAAAATGTTCCATTTAATGGCATCACCAAAGGGTAAAAATGAGGCACAATTAATTTCTTTCTCGATTTAAGCGCAATTTGGAATGTTCTACATGATTTTTACATCCACATAGTTTTTTTTTTTAGTGCTATGATAACTTTTATACATTGAGTAGGAGGATATAGTACTGAACTTCCCGTCCTGAGAAAGCACCTTAGGAGCTGTGGCAAAACAAGTGTGGTTCTGAACAGTAATCTTTAACTCTTTTTTAAAGTTCTTTAAGTTAACGAGATCTCACCTGTCCAGTGAAGCTAATCACAGCTGTGGGAGCAGGTTTGTTTAGTAGTTACAGAACGGATTTTACAGAGCTTAGACAACTTTTTTCCACAGCAATACAGGTCTTTCATGTTGGCTTTCCTTAGGTAGAAGCTAAGGGCAAGATGCCCAACTGAATTTTTACATACAGTGTCCTGGAGTGCGCAGAGACAAGTGAGGATAAAGTCTTGGCCTCCTCTCCTCTAAAGCAGAACTCCTGCTTGTTTAAATATTCCACAAGTTGCATAGTTGGAGAACTATCATAGTTTTTGGTGTTTCTGCAGAAGTTGTTTGTAAGAGAGCATTTTTTTCCCCAGGTACTACAGATAAATTACCACTGTGGAATAAAACTAAATTCTCTTCCCTCTTTAACAGAATGAATTTTATCTTATTATACTTTCATCTTATTTGTCTTTGCCTTGAGGGTCATTTACTGCTGCCTACCACAATTGTGCAGATGCTGCTATAGCCCTCACATCAGTTAAATAACTGCAGCAGCTCAGAAAAAAAAAATAGTCTGAGAAACATGTTTTGTAAGCCAGTTTTTATATGGTTTTCTTGACAACGGTCTGCTTCCCTGAGAGGTGTCTGGTGGTCTTGTGCTGACTCAGTAAGTTTACGTTTACCTATTTTCCTTGTTCCAAAAAGCCGGCAAACATGAAATCCTTGTAGGCATMGGGTCCGTGTGCTTAGGTATCTAAGTGTCATGACTCTTTCCTCATGATATAGACATTCAGTATGTCCTTTTTTATTTTTAGCTTGGGAGTTATGATTTCCAAGAGCACAAATTTGATGTAACTGGTATTGGTATTCAGGTTGTATGTACAAACTGCACTATACTGTACTTTTTGTAAACTAATGTAAGTAGACAAGAAGATTGTACAGCGTATAGATCTGCCAACTGTAAGAAAAAAAACTTTTCATAAACTGAGAATATATTGATTTTATTTCCTTTTTTTTCCTTTAAAAAATAAATAAAACACCAAAGTTAGAACAGTCGTTTGGAAACAGTCAGTACTTAGCAGTGGCTGCTAGATTGTTAAGGAAACACTGTCTTTCCCATTCACCAGCTGGGTAGAGGTGGCTCGTGATGGTCACTGTCTGCATCCARTCATTCAGAAGAGCAAGAGAAATTGCTTTGCCGGTTGGGAAGGAAGAAACAGAAACACACTGCAGAAACACCCTTGCAGAAACACACTGCCTCTTCTTCTTCCATTTCCTTGTAGCATAATAATGCCAGTAAATCTACATGTGTTAATCCTACGAGGTGAATAATTTTAAATGACACCCATGTTACTACATGAAAACACCACCACTGTTTTAATAGTTTGTGAAATAAGTATTACATGTGTTGACTGTACACAGATTTTTGCAATGCCCAACAGTTCACTGTTTCTATGGTGATTTCATCATATACACCATCCATTTCTATGATGCATTTAAATTGTTTTCGATTTGTCCATAGTCCATTTAGTCTTTTCACCTTTATATAAACTATGAAATTATGGAATACATAATAGATMGAGATTAATTTTTAAGAACTTATATTTGTAAAAATTTCTCTATTGTGAATAAAGTCTTTTAATATATCTCTTCAATTTGTTGTTTTTTTTTTCTTGTTGTTTTTCCTAAATGTATTGCAGAATTAACTGCAATAATCTGCTACATCATCCTGTTTGCTTGGTCACTGTTCTACCAAATTTGGGTGAGCATACTGGTTTAAATACAGGCTAGTACTCTCTTTACTTGTTAAGATACTCTTGTATCTAGTAGTTAAGATCAGTTCATGTTTGTCACAGTGTAATTATTATCACAGGGATCGATTTCTGGAATTTTTTATTAATAAAGTCAGCCCTGGCGACCGTGTTTTATTAAGAAGAAAGCAGGAATTAAAGAGCAGGAAAATGGGAAGAGAGAGGTGGTAAGTTGTAAGCAAAGCAAAGGTCTGTCACTCAAATGCAAGCTCCACACAAGACAYGTGGGCTCCAGCTAAATGCCACTCAGGAGCGAACGCTGGGGCCGAGATGACAAGGCTGTCACAGCGCCCCGTGTTCCGGGGCCGCGTAAGGAAACGCTGCCATTAGTCCACGCTCCAGAGGAGACGGGCACAGTTGTCACAGGAATTATAACTATGTTTTGTGACACAAGGAGATGTCATTAAAATCTCTGCTCTAGACGGTGATTTAGCAGCCACCTTTCACGGATCAGCTTGTTTGTTTTGTGTTCAGYAGAAAGCATGGCCAAGATCCAGAGATAAAAGCGAAACAAGCTGCTGCGGTTTTACAGGACAGGTTCACAAGTCTTAATTCCTGTCAAAGGATTTAGTCATTAGACCTGCTCAGAAAACTTGACAGCAGTGGTGGATCAGATGTGGCATCTAGTTTTCGAGCACATGTGCCCGTGTGCAGCTCTACACTGCAGTGCTCCTAGTGGCTAMAGACCCTTCCCAGGATCTGCTTGCCAGGACTGCACCGAGTGCTRCAGAACAAATTAAATGCAACCTAAAGCAAATATTGGTGAGGCAGGTTATTCACAAGAGGTGCAGCTCTAGGTCTGGATCAGAAATGAGACTGTGACATGCACATGTGGTCTCTTGCTTGAGCACTGATCGGGTGTTTGTTTTGGATTGCTGCAGGGGGAAAAGAACCAGCAGTGAGTTGGGAATGACCAGGTGAAGCCAAGCTCAGCATCTGCCCTGCTGTCTGTGCTGCTCTGTGGCCTTGCTCTGTTACAGGAGTAACTCAGCACCCGCTTGACACCATCTRCTACGGGAACAGCCCTTGAGACGATACACCTTAATCTCATTTGGGGATTAGTCTATTGATCTCAAATGCTAGATGAGAAATTACAGAGCAAAAAAAAAAAAAAAAAAGCAATCTGCCAAACTCAGAGTGGCTACCTGAGAAATCACATCAAAAAAAAAAGAATCACATCAAATGCAGACGTTCACTGCCTTCTGGTTTTGATTTTAGTTCCACAATTTGTAGATGGCAAAAGCCCCATAGCTTTCTAACATAAGAGGGTATTAATACGGTCCAACTGTCCTTCAAAACCTGTGGGTTGGTCCCTCATTTCTCAGCTATCAGCTCTGCTATCTTCACCAGCTCTCATCCTGTGACTAAAGCCATTATCATCAGTTTTCCTTTTGAAAGTTCTTCTGGRGAAGTGTCATTTGCTTTTCAGACACTCTTCACCCGCTCGGTGGCTGATTTGTAGACGGCTATTTGCCTTCCACAGTTCAGGCAGTGCCAGCTTATAGAAGGATAAAGACCTCCCTCACCACTGATTCTGCCTTCCACACACACAAATTKTGTGTTGCTTTCACACCTTCACTCAGAGTAGCACCAGACTGCACCAAAGGGCACCAAAGAAGACATCATAGATTACCATTGGAAATGCACAATAGATTATCATAGGAAATGCACATGACAGAGGAGCCCAAAGTCATTTCATAACTATGGATAATTAAAGGATTCTGATGCTGTGATACCGATCCTACAGTACAGCCCTCCGGCCTGGAAAAGGCCAGGCTTGAGGTGCAGTGGGCAGCTGGGCCCTGGTAGAGCCAGCTGGCATTGGCCTTCAAGCATGACCATAAACAGCACAGTTAAAGCTTTTCAGCTTCTTCTGCTACCCTTAAGATCTTATAGGTTAAATCTCCCCTCTTAGACAGCAGTTCAGGTGCTATAACGAATCTTCTATCTCTAGTCCTCTGATACCTACTAAGAACTTCTACTAGTTAAACACTCTCTCTTTAGTAACCACTCAGAATTCATATTCTTCACACACCAACCACTCCAGTTCATATCCTTGCTGCCTTCATTTTCTATGTCCTGTTGTAATATTCAACCCCACATGAAAAAGTGCTAAGCACTGTGAAAAGCTATAGCCTTTAGCTTTGTCCCTTTCTCTCAATTTACAATACTTTTTTTTTGAAGTAGGGGCAGAGTAATGGATAAACAAAACTGTACCAAAAACTGTACTTACAGGAGTATTAATAAATAAATTAGTATCTTTTGGCTACAGCTTTCAAGAGTGTTCAGTCACAGCTACTTTCTGTTTGCTTATGGTTTTCATGCCAGTCCCACTCCATCTTGTATGGGCACTGGTGTGTTTCAACTGCCGCTCCTTAAAAATTTACAGTAAAAAAAAAAAAAAAAAGACTAGTTATTATCACTAATAACAAACTTTGATTACATTGCTTTAAATCCTGAGCAATGACTCCATGTGTATAAGTAAACAGAGCAGAACTTACTAAAAAAAAATACATCTTTTGATGTGCCATTCCAAACATCACAGTTTATATAACACCTTCTAATGTACCAATGCACAAGAGTTAGGGGATTTGTCTCAGCTCTCCTTAAAGACAGGACCCAGTGCTAACAAGGTCAGGAGCAGCGAACAAATCCCACACCCTCCATAGCCATTCTGGGGGAGTAGGGAAGAACAYCAGATTGCAGGAGAAACTTGAACCAGTGCAAAATGGCAAAAACACAGCCAAGGTGCTGAGCACACTGTCAAAGGAGAGGGAGAAGAGACTCAAACAAGCAGCTCAAGYGCTGCAGAGCTCCCTTTTCCAGCAATCCAGTAACCAGAGTGCTATTCCCTGATGCTTTGCCCATGCAAGAGGCTAGATGCCACCCATCTGCATCACTGCCTGCATGTCACTAGGTGCCCTGCAACCCTTCCTGCCCACCCACATGTCACCAGCATGGGGCAGACCTGTGTCTGGCCTGAGAACGAGTCCCAGTGACACTGCTGAGCAGTAGGCGGCCACCAAAAGCTTCTGTGTGCAGCCTGTCCCTTGTAACCCCGCAGCGTGGCATCTCTGGTGCTCCAGCTTTTCAGTTCCATTTTCACAATGTTTTGACTGCTCTGGAGCCTTCCCCCTTGAACCTCAGGTTGAGAGCCTCATGTTCTAGACTTCTGCACCTTGAAGCCTGAGCCGAAACCTACCCAGACACGTAACACAGGCATGGAAAGGGAGCAGCCTCCATTCCCTGTTATTGCAGCAAAAACTCATCACAAAGCTAATCAGAGGAATAGAAGTGTTAATAGTAAAAAAAAAAACATTTCCCTGGGAACACAGCAATTTCTGCACAACTTTCAGTGACAAGTTTTTTCTAACACAGGTTGCTGYCTTCTGTCTTCTGAGAACAGCCAGGAGCTCCATAGTTTAACCCTAAGGGGCAAACCCCAAGCAGTAGCTTCAGACATGCTTTTCTCAGCACAAAACCGCCTCTAACAGCAGGGATACCTGTGTCTGGAGGCTGCAATGCAGGGCGTACAAACCAGAAACAAGCAGGAAGAAGT